CATGGCAGTTGAGACCATACCCTGTGTTCACCACACCAATGCAGTCGTTGTTGACGATGTTGTCGACACAATATGACGCGTCGAACAGGACGTCTTGCTCGTAGACCCGCTGCTCTTAAACGGTTATCGTACGGTATGGTTAGAGATTCTGCGAAGGCCAGGTATTTGGGATGCGGTTGAGGTAGCTGTGGTCGTCCTCTCCCGCAGGTGGCGCAGTCGGATTTAACGATCTTGGGTTGGGGGGGGGGGGGGGGGGGGGGGGGGGGTTACTCTTGGTCGTCTTGGTCGTCGTTGTGACCCTTTGGGCGCGCCAGAAACCTATGACAGTATGTTTGAATCCCGGTTCGCCCCTAGTATGTTGTCAGCACTAAACCCGTGCTCGTGTATTTCACCAATGTGGTGAACGTCTAAGACATACATCACATCGGACTTTAATCCCACATCAAGCTGACACGCCCTGATATAAGTGGAATACTAATCAAAGCGGCGTTAAACCCAACTCACTCACTCATTACTTACTCTCTCATCTGGTGGTTGACAAAAGTTGATATTTTGATTGGTGTATGTGCCACTCATGAACATATTAACTTTGCCAGATCACAAGATGAGATAATTTTTTGCAATTATGGTTATTTGACAAGGAAAACAAAATTCCTCTATGTATATATATATTTTTTATATCATGTCTTGATCAAACCACTTGACGCGATTAAAACAAACTTTTTAACTTCTAAAAATGATACCAATGGCCAACAGTGTCTGAAATATTCAATACTGATCTTGCCAACCTTTCCGATGTGAAACAGGTGAGCAAAATCCGAGTTGTTAGGGCACAGAAGATAAGCCCTTAATTCACAACTCAATCTTTTAGAACGTGTTGCAAATGGTAGATCATATCAAAGTGCCAAGTGTCAGTCATTGCTGAAGAAAATGAAGACACTTTCATTTGTGAAAACTACGTGCATCCTTCTTGATATCCTCACAGAGGTATCTCTTGTCTTCCAGAAGAAAGATCTTCTCATTATTGCAGTCCCTTCAGAAATTGAAGGTCTTGTCATGAACCTCCTAAACTAGAAAAAATTATATTGTTGAATATGTTGTTATGTTTTAATCCAAGACCTGCTATGATGGAATGGAGTCAGAATACACCAGGATCAAGACATATCTTGTCTTCAGTGAAAGATGCTGAACCTAAGCCTGTATCATGCAGCAGCCAATGTGTTGATTAGACTCACTGTTTCTGTATTGAACATGAGATGTAGAGTAAAAAAAAGAAAGACAAACAGGACAGTTTTAATATTATTTTACAAAAAATCCGCTGAGGACAGGTGTATCTATGATTCTCAATTCTGTATTTAGAATAGGGCAAGTAAGAATGTTGGTCATAAATTATTTTTTTCATAAATGTCACCCCCTGAATACAAGGAGTCAGAGTTGGGCATTAATGTTAATTTGTGGCATGGTGTCTCATGACGTCATCTGCAGCACAGGTTGTCCTCTGGAAGGGCTGTATTCCAGCGAAGACATCCGTCGTCACTCTGGGGGTCTCCTACATCGTCTGTGTCATCCCACTTCTGACCCCAAAAGTTGTGGGACGGTAATTATTACACAAGGTTGAGTGATGTCAATTCATGTTTATTTCCATCTCAACGTAGACAATAAGGAAAAACCTACAACATACAAATATCACAGGCTCATTAGGTTACAATCACTGAGCAACAAAATGAAAATATATTTCTATGTACTGTTACAACAGCATACTATACACCTACACTTGATGTTTGACATTGTAGAAAAGCAAAAGTTCATTGATTGTATTTGAACATTAGGATGGACGGAAATGTAGATATAAATTGACAATTACTATTTTAAATGAGACCAAAGGAATAATGTACACATGAGTTTTGTGGAAATATTGCAATTAATGAAAATGACAATGAAATTCGGCTATGAAACTACTTTGTTACAGTTGGTCTTACAATACATATGACTGCAAAGAAAAGGTATTTCTAGTTTATAGCATAATGAAGAAAAGCACCAACAGAAGCTCGACAAAGTCAATTTGCAACAATGGAATTACAAAATCGTAGATCGATATGGATAAACATCAGTCATGACATATCAATAAACTCACCCCCAGGTGACCCATTCGATAGTTGGGACTATCGGTCCGAAGTCACATCAGTCACCACTAAAGTTGATTTGCCTAACAATAATAATGACATAAATACAGTACAGGAAAACGATATTCAGACTAAGATTAAGCATTGCCAGCCATGACGAAACCTGAGTATGTTTACATTTCCTATCATGGCCATCGAAACACAATGCATTGGCAAAGGGACGTAACTCATGTGGGCTAACACGCACTCGACTGAAACAAAGGACTGCGCTTTTGGCGCGAAATACCGTTCACTGACAGCGATGCGGAAATCACATATCATGCTCTATATACTTGAAATGTGCATAAAAGACAATATAAAAAGGAATAAAAGGAATAAGTATACATGGTTCTGCTTAAGAATGAAATTATAAAGCGGTGCCAAGTCATGATTTGCCATACTTCATCAGATATTGCGAAGTTGCCACTACGGACCAATGTACTTTGGTCGGCCATTGAACACACGCACTACGCTATTTCTATCTCAATAATTCTAAGAACATGTGAAAAGACTAATATATCAACGCAATGTTTCTCAAAGTCAAATTACTCAATATATCTCAGCTCAGGGGGTGTACTTATGGTTGGTTATCGAGAAGAAAAGTAAATGCACGAGAGCGATTGTCGTCTGCTGCCTGCTTCGCTAGAGGCTTGGTGCACGTGCCGTATCTCGTGACGTATGTCGCAAAGATAGTTTACAATAAGACATTTTTATTATAGAAAGAGGACTTGACTTAACATGGAATTATAATTATGAGAAAGTTATGTGAAAATTACGAAATATAGTAAGGAAATGTATAATCTGAAAGTTGCAAACTTCCGGAATTCGACGAAGATTAACGAAGTTTACGTAGCTAATTTGGTCACTTCAAACTCTCTTCACACATGCTGTATGCGGTCGAGCGTTTTTCGACTGGAATACACTGTTGCCTGCAAATTGGAGGACGTGTGGTAGTAGAATGTTGTAGATGTATAAGATTGACCTGGATATGGGCCAACCCTGTCCTGCCATGATGAGAGATGCTGCCCAGTACATAACGCTACCCCCACCAAACCTGTGCACTTCCTGTACGCAGTTTCCGGCGTAACATTCTCCCCGACGTCTGTAGACCCGTGCTTTTCCATCCCCTCTAGAAATCTTGATTCGTCCCTGAACCAGACATCTCTCCATAGCAGTTGAGTCCATACCCTGTGTTCACCACACCAATGCAGTCGTTGTTGACGATGTTGTCGACACAATATGACGCGTCGAACAGGACGTCTTGCTCGTAGACCCGCTGCTCTTAAACGGTTATCGTACGGTATGGTTAGAGATTCTGCGAAGGCCAGGTATTTGGGATGCGGTTGAGGTAGCTGTGGTCGTCCTTTCCCGCAGGTGGCGCAGTCGGATTTAACGATCTTGGGTTGGGGGGGGGGGTTTACTCTTGGTCGTCTTGGTCGTCGTTGTGACCCTTTGGGCACGCCAGAAACCTATGACAGTATGTTTGAATCCCGGTTCGCCCCTAGTATGTTGTCAGCACTATACCTGTGCTCGTGTGTTTCACCAATGTGGTGAACGTCTAAGACATACATCACATCGGGCTTTAATCCCACATCAAGCTGACACGCCCTGATATAAGTGGAATACTAATCAAAGCGGCGTTAAACCCAACTCACTCACTCATTACTTACTCTCTCATCTGGTGGTTGACAAAAGTTGATATTTTGATTGGTGTATGTGCCACTCATGAACATATTAACTTTGCCAGATCACAAGATGAGATAATTTTTTGCAATTATGGTTATTTGACAAGGAAAACAAAATTCCTCTATGTATATATATATTTTTTATATCATGTCTTGATCAAACCACTTGACGCGATTAAAACAAACTTTTTAACTTCTAAAAATGATACCAATGGCCAACAGTGTCTGAAATATTCAATACTGATCTTGCCAACCTTTCCGATGTGAAACAGGTGAGCAAAATCCGAGTTGTTAGGGCACAGAAGATAAGCCCTTAATTCACAACTCAATCTTTTAGAACGTGTTGCAAATGGTAGATCATATCAAAGTGCCAAGTGTCAGTCATGGCTGAAGAAAATGAAGACACTTTCATTTGTGAAAACTACGTGCATCCTTCTTGATATCCTCACAGAGGTATCTCTTGTCTTCCAGAAGAAAGATCTTCTCATTATTGCAGTCCCTTCAGAAATTGAAGGTCTTGTCATGAACCTCCTAAACTAGAAAAAATTATATTGTTGAATATGTTGTTATGTTTTAATCCAAGACCTGCTATGATGGAATGGAGTCAGAATACACCAGGATCAAGACATATCTTGTCTTTAGTGAAAGATGCTGAACCTAAGCCTGTATCATGCAGCAGCAAATGTGTTGATTTGACTCACTGTTTCTGTATTGAACATGAGATGTAGAGTAAAAAAAAGAAAGACAAACAGGACAGTTTTAATATTATTTTACAAAAAATCCGCTGAGGACAGGTGTATCTATGATTCTCAATTCTGTATTTAGAATAGGGCAAGTAAGAATGTTGGTCATAAATTATTTTTTTCATAAATGTCAACCCCTGAATACAAGGAGTCAGAGTTGGGCATTAATGTTAATTTGTGGCATGGTGTCTCAGTGGGATAGCACTATAAAATAGGCATTAGTTCGGACTAGTGCAATAATCTTGGACGCGACCTGAAACCCCATTTCACCTCATTTGGTTGAAGCTTCGTTTTGATTATTCCAACAATGGCTCATTAATTTTGTTTTAGGAGTATCAATTGTTGCAGAGAGAAATGTGTTTTATAATATTAAATGTTGTGTCTGACATTTGTTTCAGGTACCCACCCATTGGTGGAACAGAAATACTCGAATTCAGTGGAATGAAGAGGTAAAGAGTACTGTACTGTTTCTGGCCATCAATCTTTGTTCTAGTGTCGTTGAAGTATATTTTGAAAGTAACAGTGCCTCTACATCATTTATGATGTTGTCAATTTCGACATTTATCCATGTAAAATATATATGTTATGCATTTGGCATTGTTAGTGATGAAAAGTATTTATCTAAATACATCTCACAAATTATCTCATAAATTGGATAAATAATTCTTTACGCTGGAACTAACGTCCTTAATGTATTGCATTATCACAGAGGTAAATGTTATTAGAAAACATATTTCTGACATTTACAAAGTGTGCACTTTTCTGTCATACTAGCCTTTTGAACACAAAAAAGCAAGATATATTGTGGATTTTAGTATCGAAATGTATGAATCACAATTGCATTAAATTGTAGTACAAATGTCAAGGCAATATTCATCACTAATGATATGTGACAGATACAAACTGGAAGTCACCAGGCGTAGTGTTTTAAGATGAACCGTGTTTTTAAAATGGTTCCCCCATTGGTTTAAGATTATCCATGACTTGATATTTCTGAACTTCATATGGATGATCCCGCAGAATTCTGCACCAGTTTCAAACAGAAGACACTGATAATGTCATTTCTTTACCATAAATCATCCATTTCTGCATGTAATTTTGAGTTTTGATCAAGCTTCGTCCACTGTTTTTCAAGCAGACTCGTTTATATAGTGCTACTGGCTTAAACATCACCACAGAAACTACAAGCCCTATGAAGCTGACCTTTGCATGAATGATTTTACCTATGGCGTCTCTAAAACATTCTCACAGAATTCTGATACAATTTCAAACATGGCCATCAAGATGGTCATTTTAGTAACCAATTCATGGCTATCAATCGCCCATTTTTGGCACATGTACTGAAATGAGGCATAACTGTAGGCGTACTAAGGAGTGGGGCAAACAGAGATATTCTGATATTGTGAAGTTTGATCTTGTTTCAATTTTTATAAACATAATAATTGCTGTCACCTAAGTTAAAATGCTATCATGAACATTAGACCCAATCAAACACTAGTTACAACGTTTCATCAAGTTATCTCCATACACTGTCAAAAAAGTAGCTTTTCGCACTTGACATCAAAAAGAATTGTCTTGAGCTACCTTGAAAATAATGGTCACCCTGCATGGGGATTCTGTGTAAGAATATGGGTCCCGGCTGTTGACGTAATTATATCCCAGTCATGACCCGACATATGAGTGATAGTTATTCTCGTAGATTACATGTGTGTCCGTTGCCAGGTGATCTTGCCAGCTGTCCTTCCGGTTCCTACTGCGCATGACCTTACAATATAGTGTGAACCTTATGGCTACTCAACATCTCCCCCTTTTCTTTTTTAAGAGAATGTAAAACTTTCCAACTATGAGCTCCAAGGATAAAGTTCAACTGTCATCCATGGAAATACTTAAGCATAGTACTTCAGCATAATACTCATAATCTCTCAACCAACTAAAAAATGACTGTTAAACATTTCTGAAGTCCTATCAGAATGTAATTGGAAACATTAAAGTACATTATTAGTCTCTGCACCAAGCTGGTACTCGCACAACATGCCCTCTCATGGTTGTCGTCTCCAGCTGGCTGGTCTTGTTCTGTTTTACTGGGGATGCAGGCTGGAGTACTTTACGGGTTAGTTCTTTGTTAACATCTGAGTTCATCAGAGTATTGCAATCTGGCACTGTAATGTTGCTCTCATCGAAGTTCACACTACCAAAAGGATATGCCTCCTCTTAAGCCTGACCACTGAAGTCGGTGACCTAGACGTACCTGCATGAGTCCTAAAGACCCCTGGAGTCTTCCAACCCATCTCTCGAATCCGACTTAAGCCAGGCTTCATCACCTGGCTTAAGTTCAGATAGTGCATTTGCTTGGTCAGATGATCATAGCATGCCTTAATGGACTCCTTCCTTAGCCTGTCAATTGTTTTTACTCAGGAATCATGCCACTTTGGAGTTAAAGTGTGCTTTGTCCCTCATGAATCTATCATGTTCCTTGACACCGAAAGATCTCCACGATCTTCAAAGTAATCTCTAGCTGCAGTTGGCACACTTTTGCAGCCTGACGGCAAGTGTAGTATCTCTTTCTGTAGCTTGTTGGATCTCCTGTAATTTCTTGTCTGACATAGGACGATTCTCTAATACTGTGTCAACCAAGGCTTCTACGCCATCTTCTATTTCAACGTTTCATCAAAAGACTGGGCTTCTTGATATTTGGTCAGATACCAACACCTCCTTCCTACTTATATACATGTTCGGCTGTAGCACGGAATCTCATCAGTCTAAATGGGAGATGTGTTACCCTCACAGGAGCATTGTTGAGATCCTACTTGATCATGAGTGGCACTAATGGCTTGTGGTCTGTCCTAAAACGAAAAGAATCCAGTCCAACCAGATACCTTGAGAAGAATTGTCCACAGGCCCATACAGAGGCCAGACATTCTTTTTCTAGCTGTGCATACCCTTCCTAAGCTGAAGGTAACGTACGTGGAGCGAACGCCACTTGTTGGAATTTTTCTTCGTGTTCTCAAAATAGTCCCAAGTCCATAGCCGCTAGCACCATCACAAACCACGATGTAGGCTTCTTGACATTATAGATTTGAAGGAGAGGCCCTGACACTATAATATCCTTGAGCGAATGATTCCTCTTGACTGTGCCCCCATGTCCAAGTCACATCAGACTTTAACAAGTTTCATAACGACGAACAGATCCTGCAGAAATCAGCCCTATCGTGGCGTCCGTCTGTCGTTCGTACGTCAACAATTTATTCAAACAACTTCTTCTTCCGAACTGGAAATTAACGAAATTTACCTGGAAGCCTCCATAGGTGGTGGGGATTCAAAATCGTACAAATTGTAGGGTTGACGCCCCCAGGGGCTGTGGGGCGGGGTCAAATAGGGGTAATTTGGCCATATTGCTTTCAACGACTTTTTTTCTGGAACTAAGAGAAAGATATCAACCATATTTGGTTGGGAGCAGTGTTGAGGATTTAAAATTGTACAAATGATGGGGCTGAGGGGCGGGGCCAAATAGGGGTAATTTGGCTATAATGCTTCAGACGACTTCTTCTCTGGAACTAAAGATATATATCAACCATATTTTGTTTCTCCAATGGTGGGGATTCAAATTGGAGAAATGGAGGGGCTGAACCCTCCCCCACCCCTTGGGACTAAGGGCCGGGGCTAAAAAGAGTTCATAACTAGGACACAGTTAAGATCCCCACTGTTTAACCATATGTACAACTGAGAGTATAATGAGAGGAATGCACATATCTACCAGGATTGACCCTTCTGTTCATCTGTCCAGTGTAATGAAGTATTTGGAACCCCATAGTATTTGGATCTGAACCCATAGTACTATGATCCCCCAGTACTTCTTTGATAAAAACCTAGCAATTGGAGCTTGACAATTTTAGCATTGTATTCTCGACTATATATAATGTAAACTCCAGGCGCTTGTGCAGGATATATACTACATGCATATATATTACCTGTGCAAAGTTACTCAATCGCATGGCAGGTTGAGAACGGCGGCACAGTAACCGCTCCTGGCTTCTGATTGGTCGGTTTGGTCACGTGACCTCTGTGACTCTAATGACGTCATCACGTGACCTGCGCAGGGCATTGTGGGTCATGCGTTACATCACGATGACGTCACTTCCGTTCCCGGTGATGCGTGCGTTTGTCATTGATGTCAAATACCCCAAGATAGTCTTCGATTTGACATGCTTGAAGATGGAAAGATGCGATTCCAAGCCCCTTAAGAACTAGCAATCAATCATCCTCTCATGGGAAATATTGGTGGACCACTCTATTCCACGGAAGTGATCATGCCAAGTCCACTCCTCGATGAGGAGGACTATAAAACCTACACAGAGACGCCCGTTCCCTTGAGTGCCTTGGCCCAGTGGCAAGTGGGGGCTACTCCCATGACAAGTGGCTGTGTAGAAATCACAGGTGATACAAAAGCGCATTGTCTGTCAGGATTTGATACTGTGTACATTTTCACCAACCTGGTCGAAGATCAAATTGTGGGCAATACGATGGCTCCCTTGCTGATCTACGCGCCTGTTTCAAAGAAGATGATGCAAGACAGTGTGGTGATTAAAAACCCTCAGCACATTCACTGCCTCGGACTGCGTCATGGTTCTTTTGAGGGTATTAAACTCTATATCATGGACGACACGGGGCGACCCGTGCCATTTCAAATGGGAAAAGCCATGGTGACACTTCACTTCAGACGTCGCAACATGTTGGGACTCGCGTTTGCACACCCAGATGGATCGAGGACAGTTCGATCAGCGTGGGAGTGGTATCAACGTTTACAAAGGAGGGTATCATCAACGTGGCAGTGGTCTCGGAGATATCTTGAAGATGGCGTTGCCTTTCCTTAAATCTGCTGGCACATCGGTGCTCAAGATGGGTAAAAAGATCCTACCAGGGTTGGTGAGTGATGTGGTTGCAGTAAAACGCAAATGGTCAGAGAGCCTGAAACATCGTGGAACAGCAGCCCTGATGGATGTCTTGGAGGAATGTGAGGAGCTGAGACCCTCTAAAAGACGTAAAGCCATAAAGATGTAAAGCTGTACACCTCTTTAGACTGACAGTACCCCCTCCCCTTAAGACTGACAGTACACCCCTTAAGACTGACTGTAAACTGTCTGTACAGCACTTTAGAGTGACTGTACGCTCATATAAGACATGTATGTACAACCATGTAAGACTGACTGCACAGCTCTGTAAGACTGACTGTACATCCCTGTAAGACTGTGTGTACAACCCCTGTAACACTGACTGTACATCCCTGTAAGACTGACTGTATACCCATGTAATACTGACTATACAACCATGTAAGACTGACTGTACACCCTGTAAGACTGACTCTTTGTCTCTTGATTGATCCAATAGGGTGTCAAACCGAGGGAAGAGGCTGAGTTGAGATGTTGTCAACGCTGTCAGTCTGTCATGTCTG